CCCCCCCCCCCCCCCCCCCCCTTAGAAACGTCACACATAGTTATCGATATTTTGTTCTTATAGTACACATAAGCTAATTTTTTACGGTTCACTTTTGGCGATGCTTCCACGAGGAATTGTCATCTCCTGCTGACATATGTTTTTTATTAAGGGGAAGGTACACATGAAATTTTTCATTCTAGGCAATTTTTTTTTCGTTTTTAAATGAGACATTGGAGAACCATCCTGAAGTTGACTTGGTTGCCATGGGAACGTGTTTGTTATTTTTTTTATTTTTTTGCCTTTTTCTCCCTGATAAACGTAAATTTATGCATGTCATCTACATTTCTGACTACACGAAGTTCTTCACAAGGCCTAGATGCCAACAATGCATCATGGACAGGTGTGCCTTAAAGCAAAGCCTAGTAAAGTATACCCCTAAAAATGTGAGTTATGTGACTATCTTCCCAGTATAGGCAGGACAAAAAACCTTGCTGTAATCAGTAATTAAAAACTTCACATAAAACAGCTTGCACTGCGCATGCACTTGCAAGCATGGCCTAAACTCTTCAGCCAAAAGCAAATCCATGCGCTTTGTGACGTACTGCGTGGGAAAGCTGCGTACATTAAAGTTCTTTTTCCGCAAAACATTCGACAACATGTTATGGTTCTTAATTATAATACTTGAGAACTTTGTTTTGATTATTAATTTAAATAAAGATTAGTTTGTTCTCAGGGGCGTGGGAACCGGGGGCCAGCCCCCCCCCCCCTTCCAAGTTTTGCCAAGTGCCCTTTTTCCGGTAGCAAAGTGCCCTTTTCTTGCGTGGAAAATGTCTTAAGGATTGCCTTTTTTTGCCCAAAGCACACTTTTGAAAACATGAATTTATGTTATTTTCCGAAAAATTTTTTTCAATTCCCAGGAAAATATGATGTATCCGGAAAAATTTTTGGTATATCCGGAAAATTTTTTTCATATTTAGGAAAAAATGTGGTATATCCGGAAATATTTTTTTGGTATGACCGGAAAAAATTTTTCAAACCTCCCCCTCCCCAACTTTTCCGGGAAAAAATTTTTAGATGCCCTTTTTTATTCGGAAAGTGCCCCTCAAAGCCTGGCCCCCCGCCCAACTTTTATAAGCTTCCTACGTCCCTGTTTGTTCTTTTACCGAAAGTGACCGGTCAAAATGACCGGCAAGGTAAGAATTTGACGGGACAACTCCGCTTTCTGACCGAACATTGTCCGTTGACCGGCCGTTATTTCACATAAAAGGGTAAAAGTCAACGCTCTGCCGAAAGTCGTGAGTTTTCTCGGGATACTCCGGTTACCCCCCACAGAGCGGAAAGTTGACAAGGGTGGGTTAAGTCAACAGGCAGGTTAGGGGCAGATCATTAATGAGGTACGGACTGATAGCGGCTGCTTAAAGCGCCATCTGTAATTACGCTCACAGTCTTACCTCGGTCTGCTTCACGCCAGTTCCGGTTCTAATGTAACCAGTCACTGAAAAACCTTGATAGGGAGTGTGCTGTGCAATATCTGTATCTGCAAGGGGACGACCCAGAGGAGGAATGAGGGTCTTCCCGAAATGCAACGCTCGAATCAGTGCGGCTTATTATTATTCAAGCTATTTATTCCCAACGCGCCGTTCGATTAAAAACTGTTGAAATATATTGCGATTTTTGCCGTGAAGATCTCGTTTTCTCAAAGGTATGGTTCGATAACCTTTTTGTTTAGTTATTCAATAAAAGAAGTTTTGAATAGTTTTGTATATATATCGCATTTTACTTGTGTTAAATTCCGATTGTATTTATGCATGTTTTGGGTGTTGGAAAAGTGGCATTGAAATATTCTGGAGTAAATTGTACTTTTTTACAAGGAAACTAAAATAAAATTACATCAGTGAATTCAGGAATGTTTACTCTTTATATTGATACTTTAAAACATGAATTTACTCCATAAAACCGAAGAGTTATCGCGGTTTGAAAATGAGCTATTTTTGCGAATTATCGACAATAGCAAAAATAGCTAATTTCCAAACCGCGATAACTCTTCGGTTTTATGGAGTAAATTTATGTTTTAAAGTATCAATATAAAGAGTAAACATTCCTGAATTCACTGATGTAATTTTATTTTAGTTTCCTTGTAAAAAAGTACAATTTACTCCAGAATATTTCAAGGCCACTTTTCCAACACCCAAAACATGCATAAATACAATGGGAATTTAACATAAGTAAAATGCAATATATATACAAAATTATTCAAAATTTCTTTTATTAAATAACTAAACAAAAAGGTTATCGAAACATACCTTTGAGAAAACGAGATCTTCACGGCAAAAATCGCAATATATTTCAATAGTTTTGATCGAACGGAGCGTTGAGAATAAATAGCTTGAATAATAATGAGCCGCACTGATTCGCGCGTTGCATTTCGGGAAGACCCTCATTCCTCCTCTGGCTGAGGAGTGAATACTATAGATTTCTATTACAGAATGTATAGTTTTCGTTTTAAAACGCTTATTTTCTTCTCTTGGCCCGAAACAAACCTTGTTTCAGGAAAGGAATATATAACATGAGTGCTTTAAGAAGTGAATTTGAAGTTTTTAACGCTGAAATCGCAGAGGAAACCGAAGTTTTGCGTCGTAATAATGAGTGCGACTGTGCGAAGACTGAATATGTGAACGCCAGTGTCGTCAATTGAGACCAAAATGACAAGGATTAGATCATATTCAAGTGTTGGATCATTTAGTTAGGAATACTGATTCAAAGAACAAAGCAGCTTGACTAACTGAACAAGTTAGGCGGTACAATTAACGGCGATATTTACTGCAGTATAATAAAACAGGTACGTTTTGCATTAATAATATGACCTTTGTCATGGCTGTCAAAACTTAAATCACGGTTCATACATTGTTTGTTTAGTACTAAAGTGATGGGTAATTTTATATTTGAGTTATATGAATCTTTTATTAATTTCCATGTGGCAGACGATAACTGAAAAAAGTTTGATTCCCTTGTATATGAGACATTTGAACTAAATGGATGGCCCCATGTGGTGGTCATCAAGTTCTGTGAATAATGAAGGCACATTAGATTACCCTGATATTTTGATTGCAGGAGTTGGGAAGACAGAATACTAACTTAACAGCCAAGGACATTGCAGCACTCATGGCAGCGGATTTCCTTGTGGACTGTTTTTGCAGGCGATGCTCCAATCAATGTAATAGTTCGCAGCTTATATTTATTCAAGGATATTGTATTCAGAGATGCTTTGAGAAATAAACTTGTGAATACTGATACTGGCCAAATTAAAGCTGCAAATTTTAATTACTATCGTCTTGCTTATATTGTCTTGACTACCGACTACTTACTAATGACTATGTCTATGGTTTCAAAAGCGTTGCCTCATACAACATACCTTATTATTTAGTTTGAGTTTGTCTTGATCTTTCGTGTTTTGTTTTGGCTGCACAACAACGTTGAAAATGTAGTTTCAAACGACGATTTCTGTATATAGTCTGTTCAGAACTGTTCATTTTCGTAAAACAACCACTGGAATAAGTTTTTAGACACTTTTCCTCCTTTAAAAAACTTTTTTTCCACTTCAAGTCTCGATACAATTTTTTTTGCAAACTATGTTGAAAAAAACAATTCGCACTCCCTGCAACGCGCGAAATTCCTTGCCGCAGGAGTCTAAGACTTGCCAAAATGCCCTTATAAATCAGCCATTTTGTGGAGACAAAATTTTTACTGAGAAACGATAGGAGCACGCATTCTATATGAAAATTCAACGAAACTGTGCGAAATATATATTAGATCGCTGAGTGAAAAACCCCCATTTTGAAACTGAACTGAATATGTCACTGGAGCATTCTATCCTTGGAGTTCGGAATTGTGCGCGTGCGTACAAGTATATGGGCTAATAAACGACAAATGTACCACAAGCATGGCATGACCCGGCTATTACGTATATAAATACGAGCTTGTGATGTTACTCTGAGTGTATATCCACACCGGGCAGGCTTGGAAAATATGCCTGGCCACGGTGGGAATCGAACCTACGACCTTTGGAATACTAGCCCAATGCTCTGTCAACTGAGCTACGCGGTCAGGTTGTTTCGAGTATGTGATATTTCGGAAATGAGTCTAGTTCCTTCGATATCAATGTAATCTAGCAATCATGATATTTTCTGTGTTGGTGTAATGTACTCAGGTGAATAAGATGCTTGTGATGTTTCTCTGAGTGTATATCCACACCGGGCAGGCTTGGAAAATATGCCTGGCCACGGTGGGAATCGAACCGATGACCTTTGAAATACTAGCATATCAGTTGGCAGAGCATTGAGCATCACTTATTGCCTTCACTGAACTCCTATAGCCGATCTAACTTTTAACTACTTGTACAACTTTACATTATCAGCCGACGGGGACCCGACGAGCAAGGCCAAGGCTGCGAGTCTTTTAATAAATCCATCTATCTATATTCATATTAATAGTTTATACGTTCTCTGGTTTTAGAACCAGAGAACGTCAAAACTATTAAAATGACATTAATAAATTGGTTTACAAATCCGAATCTATAAGCTAGTATACGCATGCATGCTGCGAGCCTATTCACAATTCTCACACATCATTATATATAGATATTCCGGCAATAGCAATTCCGCCTATAATACGTCCTCATTCATCTTACGTGCTTGTATACATGACAAGCAAGTCCAGATTAGACTCTTAATAATTATATTCAAGTGGCAGGGCTTTGAAGCTGAGGGAATTTGAGTGTTAAATTGAAATATGCGATATACAGTAAACTGTATTTGAAATTTTTTTCTAACTACACTTTTCTGTGTTATAGAAAATATCCCCAAATACAAAATTCACGAACTCATGGCTTACCTCAAATATCAATTATACTTCCGATAGTGTTATTTTATAACGGATTATCCTCTTCATTAATTAGCTAGCTTGCTTTTTTTTACGCTCGCTTGCACTCTTCAAAAATGCGAACGGCCCACCGAGTTTTTGGTACATCGTGCTACGTGGAGTGGCTTTCTTTACATTTTGAATAATGTGCTCAACACTTTCCGGCTCTGGAAACCGCGCTCTTTCTTACAGGAAGATGCCATGCTCTTTTGCCAACAAAATTCAACTATTCACGACGAAAGCGAATTGAATGTATAATCTATTTGTCGTTAATTCCCACGCTAAATTTTTTGAATAACTAATAATTTTATGCCTCTGGCTATATGAATATCCAATGATGTGTGAGACGCAATTTCAAATCCTCGTTAGTGTTTTAAACTTGGCTTCCAAATCCCCAGTGCCATCAACAATTGGGAGTTTACGATCTGCGACGCGGCCGGCTCAATGACGCGGTCTAAATTTTAGCCCAACAATGAGCGCTTATAACTGTAATAAATATTTGACTCTTTCAAATAACCTTACAAAATGCTACGTTCGGCTAAAGCGATGCAAAGTTTGCTATAATTTCGACTTTTAGTGACACCTGTTGTGTCGCATTAAGCTTTCGCGTTGCCTGAAAGACGTAATAATGCTTTTCTAACGTTGTGTTGAGAATGACAACGTGGTTGACAATACTCATGGGACCACAAATTATTGACAGTTTTTGTCTTGCATGACAAATTTCTTTGTAAGTTCTTTGTAGGTTTGCATGACGATTAAACACATAATACTATTGTTTGTGGAAACATAAAATTTCTTTGTTTCTGCACCTCGTCATTGTTCATGTCACTTGTATTTATAAACCACGTCTGAAACACTAAGGCCTGTTTTATTCGTCGAATTTTGATCGCGTCGAATGAAATAATGACAATAGACTAGCAAAGCATGCATGCATGCAACGACACAGCTCGCCTATACTTTTCAAACATTGTTTCAACATGAAGTATTCGTAATTATGCCAATTAACTTAACACTGAAGCAGGCTCGCGTCAGGTCATGTTAGTCATGACGAAACGATAATTGTTTTATTTAACGTTTATTTTGTACAAACCTGAAAAAATAGATGAAACTTGACTACACGTTTAAATACATAACTATCAGTTTATAAAATATATAAAGTAGGTATATTATTTTGCTTTCTATGGGCTTTGTTTTATATAAGATTTAAACAAAACTCTAGTAAAACATTTTTAAATGTGAATTGAAATTAACTGTTTTTTGCCGATAGTTATTAGGCATAACCTAATAAACTCTTCAACTCGAGTTTCAACTTATTACTTGCACTTTGAAATGAAATAAATTTAATTCTTACAGGACGCTTATGCACATAATTTGCTTTCCTTTTTGTCATGAACTTCTACAAAAGTTAATTTAACTAAGAAATTAACTTTCGCATACAATGTATGTAGGAAAGACTTGGACAACAAGAACAAGGTCTATATTTATTTAATAATACAAAGTTAGACATAAACAATTGAAACAAACTTACCCTATACTTTACTGAGGATTTCTCACACTAAATCAATTCTTATAAATGTTTACGTTTAAAAAATGAAAAAAGTTTTAAGATTTGTCATGTGAAACGATTTTCCAACATGTATTTTTTATATTTTGGCCTTCTTCACTCCTGGCAAAACAGCCATATTTT